CTGACTTCACTTTAGACAAGACTAATGAGAAAAAAGTTGTTCAAAAAGTTTTAAAACTAATGGATGATGCTAATGGCGAAGTGCAAAACTTGGCAGTAAAATGGTGATTATCATGCGATGGGTCGTTGATTGTTAATTATCGTTTGTAACTTTTATCATGTAAATCATTTAGTCTCGCGCCACTTGTCAAAAAAGTTCGAGAAACACAACTAGCTGAAATCATTGACAAGCTTTGTGAATACGCTACACAGAAAAAGGAAGAACTACGTGACATTGCTGGCATCGGTATTAAATAAGTTATATGTAATGATATGAGTTATTCCTGGATGATCACTCACTTGTGAGTTTACTTGCTTCAGGATTGAAAACTGTCATTGTGGAAATACCAAGCAACTCACCAAATGCTGGTAGCGTCGTGCAGAGATTGATTCCAAAACTTCTTTCACAACTAGAGAATGTGAGTAAATGGTTTGTTACCTTGTAAAATTCATATGCTTTACTTATAATCAATATAACATAAGTCAAAGGCCACGTACGAAGTGCAAATGGATACCTTGGATATCCTAAGTGAACTCCTTGCTCGTTTTGGTAGTTCAGTGGGTAACAATGTAACATCACAGAAACGGATTCAGAATGTTTTGGTGCCTTTATTGAGCCATTCGCGTCCAGCATTCAGAAAAAGAACTACTATTGCTCTTGGTAAGCTTATTTGGCATTTTTTTTACTTTACTGTCAGAAAATCTTGACCGGCTTAATCCTATAGGTAATCTTGTGACACATGCTCCCGATGATCTATTTAACGAACTGGTGCAAAAATTATTGGCTGAATTTGAAAGGGCTCAAAATCAGAAAGATTGTATCAGAGATGAAATTGATTCTTTGCTGGAGCTCTTACTGAGCGATCGCAGTAATGTTACACGGAATTGTTTAATCCCGTGATCCGAGACTTGGAGTAAACGATTTGCTTGTCCGATACAGATACGTATTCGTTACTTGCGTACCAGTTATACAAGATTCGAACATCAATTTGACGAAAGGATTTTGCCAATTCTAATATGTTCTCGCATCGGTAAGTTCAAATGCTTGGCTCTTAATGATCATGTCCCACATGTAGTCGCTTCTTCTATTCCGAATTGGATGTTCCGGAAAGATCCGGGATAGAACGGCTGTCAGCGTATATATTAGTTGTTATTCTTTTTACGTAGTAAAAATAAAAATTTTTTAATATATTAAAATTTGATAAAAATTCAAATAAAAGAATTTTATTCTTTAGGTAATTATTGAAGGCAATTAAACATTTGTACATACGTACGAGTGTATTAAGCACGGATGCTTATAATACAAGCCACTCTTGTTATAGTGGATCTTCGATATAGTGAAGATTGGCTTATAGTGAAGATTTTTTTCGAAACAAAACCAGAACTATTAATATTTCACTCGATATAATTAAGTTTTAATATATAATAAACTCTCGATATAAGATATAGTGAAAATTTTTTTTAAAAAAAATACAAACCATTTATAATAAATTTACTCTCGATATAGTGAAGATTTATATATAAAATAATTTTATTAATTTAAATATTCTTTTGATATAGTGAATATTTTTAATTTTATATTATATTAAAAGTTTTTAATATAAAGTTTCTCGATATAATAAGGATTTTTTATTTTTATAAACTTTACTATATCAAGAATTTTTAATATAGTGAATATCTTGATATAGTAAAGAAAATTCTTTAGCCTAACAATTTTATTATAATAAGAGTAATCTGTATACAAATTTATATATATAAAATTTTAATACAAATTATGTTTTACTCTAATTTTAAATTTTAATATATTTTAATTTTTATTTTTTTATAGTCAAAGGCTAAACTTTCTGGCTTATCAGTTTTATTAAATATATGAGGATCACAAGAGCCCTAGATATTAATATATTTTAACAAGAATATACAAGTTACTCTCGTTAATATCAATTTATTTAAATTGGGTTTAAATCATGTTAATAGTAATATTAATAAGAAATTATGTTAAAGTTGATATATATAAGAGAATTTTGATATATAGGGACTATAACAGCAAAAGGAGGTAGTGGGCAAAAAAATTTTTTTTTAAAAAATACAATTTCTTAAAGAATTAGAATAATAGATATATGATTTTTATAAAATTACAAAATCAAAATTTTTGGCCCACTGTCCCTTTTTGATGTGAGGTCCCCATATAAAAATTTATAAAAATTTGTTTTGTGGCTTAAGTTGATACTATATCAATAAAATTGATATTAATAGGGATAATCTGTATATAGATATATATACAACTTTAGTTATTATCTATTTAAAGATTTTGCTATATTATTATAATTACTCTTTATATATTATATCTAGAATTTACTATTTAAATTTTTTGATTCAAGTTTTCTAATATTGATTTTTTTTTTTGGTATTAAGGTGAGGCTTTGCTTATATTTTTATTAATAGTTTTTATCATAGTAACTACAAGGAGTTGCTAACCTTAATATATAAAATATAAAAAATAAAAACTATATACAAGAATAAAAGCTTAGACTACTTTATCTGTGACCTAAACCTACTAGAGTGGTCAAAGACTCACCTAGATTTTTTTA